AAGTTTAGCTATAAAGACTGAACAGGCAATGAAAAATGCAATAGTGATGTAAACAAGTTGTTTATTATTGGCTTAGTAGAGAGCATGACTAATCTCATTCAAGTTTTAAAAAAATTATCACTACTCAGGCTTTCACAGGAAGACGTGCGATTTTACGTCTTTATATGACCACACTAAAAAAAAAATGTTTTAACGATTTGACCACGGCATACTTTTAAAATTTAAAAACGCGCTACAAAAACTTACCCAATCTTATCTGAAAAAAAAATTTAAAAAAATAATAAATATTAATGAAAGAGAAAATAAAAAAAATACTTACTTAAAGCAAAAACACAAAAAAATAAATATATATATATATATATATATATATATATATATATATATATATATATATATATATATATATATATATATATATATATATATATATATAACGCAACTAAAACAAAACTCATCAAACTAAAATGCTTAGTCTATTTAATTTACGCATTAAAAAACCTTTTCAATCTTTGTTTCAACATTTTTATATATTTTTTATTTATTTAATATATTCAAAAGTTAAATATTTCTCATAAAATACATAGTTATATAAATAAAATAAAAAAATATTTTATTAATACTTTTTGTTTAAATTAATTAGAAGTGTTTTTTTTTTTTTACTTCATCAAAAGCATTTCGATAATATAAAAGCATTTAAGATCAAACTTATTAAATTGTAACAATTTTCTAAAACTTTTTTTTTTACGAAATTTTGTTTATCTTTTTAAATGCATTAACTATAATTATTCTTTTATTTAAGTTCGTTAAAGAAACTTTTGTAGTCGTAGAATGTCATCGTTTATAAAAACAAAAAATTTTTTAATTTTTTAATAAGATTTATTTTAGAAATGAACACTTAAACAATTTATATGTTTTAAATTAAAAAAATATATACAACTGCCAATTATATTTAAAAAACAAAACTTTTATTCATTAAATTGTAACTTTATTTGAAATCGTTTCGCTAATATAAAAACATTTTTTAAGATATTTTGATGTAATTAATTTCACTTTCTTAGAATATTTTTTATTTAGCGCAATTCCAAAAATGTTTTTTGAATTAGCCGCGGTCAAACCTTCATAGCAAAAAGTAACTTGCGTGGTCATATAAAGACGTGAATCGCACGTTTTCCTGTGAAAGCCTGCTACTTTAAAACTAAATGATTTAAAATACTTTTGTGCTTTTTACATGAAGTTGGCCAATATATTTTTTGGAATTGCATGTGCTGCATCAGCACATTCTTTCCCTTGGTGTAACGCTAGCAAAGAAAAAATGCAATATATTCAAATTCATGGTGAACTCAGAACTCTAAGAAGTATCAGTTCATCAGCTGATTCCTAGAAAGTTGCCTGTAAGATTTGAAAAAAAGTTCCAGCTTTTAGCTGCATCTTATATTAATTGCCTTAACCTTCCACTAGTTGATCTGCCTGATGATGTAAAGATTATTGAAGTTCTTATTCCAATGGAACTTTGTCTACTTTGTGGAAATACAAACAAAATTTATGATAATCTTAAAAAATATTTGCAATTTATGGATGTCACTCCATCGGCTCACCACTGGAACCAAATTTCAGGATTTTAAAGGCCTAAGCTGCATTGTTGTCAATTTAAAGGTGGAGAAAGTTCAAAACTGCTAAAAATATTCATTTGTTAGTAGAAATAACTAAATCTTCTTAACTGGAAAAACATGAGCATATCATTTCTATAGAAAATTTCTTTTAATGATGAAAATCTGTTAAAGTTGTCTTGGTTCTAGTTTGTTACCTGAATATGGTTAAACCATTATTGAGTACAGATACTTATGTCAAATTTGGTCTAAGAATGTAACCAAAAGTGCATGCTCTTATTAAGAATACATTTGAGTTTCTTTCACTTATGTCCAATTCTAATCCAGATAAAGAATTAAGTTTCTGGTCTTAACAGAGTTTAAATCTGTTCATTATGTTTTTAATCAGTTTTGGGAGAATGGATATAAAGTTTTAAGTAGCTTATTCACAAATCCTGCTTAAAGCCATTGATATTTTCAATTCCTGACATACCTTCTTTAAAACAGTTGCACTTTAAAGTTAAATATTGTATAATAAATAAAAGTGTATCTTTTGGAATTTATTATTAATTGTAAGTGGAAATAAATATAAATGTAAACATTAACTAGTGTTGTTTAAACCGTTCTCTAATTGAAAAACAATTGAAATATACTATAAAACCAATTTGAACAAATGATGTTTAAAAAAAATTAGAGTTTGATTTATAAATTGAACAGAATTTGGGAGCAATATTACTTTCTGAGGGTTTTGTGTGTGTGTATATATATTTATAAGAGCAATATTACTTTCTGAGGGTTGTGTGTGTGTGTGTGTATATATATATTTAAGATTTTTACAATATATATATATATATATATATATATATATATATATATATATATATATATATATATATATATATATATATATATATATATATATATATATATATATATATATATACGTATGTATGTATGTATGTATGTATGTATGTATGTATGTATGTATGTATGTATGTATGTATGTATGTATGTATGTATGTATGTATGTATGTATGTATGTATGTATATGTATATATAAACAAGCTATTAAAAAGATTACAATTTGAATTAAAAAAATACTTAAATTTTTAAAATTATTGTTACTAGTCCAACAGTTGGATTTGCCCTTGAAACAAAATTCAACATTATTTGTGATAATTGGAAAGATTCTGATGGGTTGCTACGATACATGTTTTATTATAACAATGGTCAAACGCAGCACATGAATGTTAGTACAACAGATACAATTGATTATCCAATGTTGAATGCTGCAACTACCGATCAACCTAGTTTATTTGATTTTTTGATGGGTCCTGGTGACAAAAACAATGATGACCAAGTCACAATTATTATAAAAGTGAGTAATAAATACCAAGCCTACACAGAATACAAACATCTTTTTATCAAGGTAGATATTTTAATGTATTTTTAATTGAATTACTTTGTACTTTTTTTAATGTTATTTATATCTTTTTTGTTAATTGGAAATCATGTGGCTCTACAGTGGCAAACTTAGAGTTGGAAAACTGTTTTTTATCAGCATCATAGGGGTGGGGGAAATTTTTGTGGTAGCCTGCCCCTCACCCTCCTTTGTCTTGTATTAACCTTGTTTAGTTTTATCTAAAGATAAGGACTGAATTTAAAATAGTGTCTTGTTGTAATAAGTATTTCTTTGAATACACAAATTAATTGGTAGAAATAATCTTATGTTACTTTATTTACTATATCACCTAGTTCTGTTCACTTTTTTTAGTTTCATCTAAAGATAAGGACTTGAGTAAAAATAGTGTTTTGTTGTAAAAGATTTTGCACAAATTTAGCTATGGATATTACCTTATGCTACTTTAGTTACGCCAAGAAAAAACTATTTTATTTAAGATTTTTACAAATGTTCAAGTTGCAAATACTTATATTATATATCAAGGTCAAGTTTAGGGTTAGGGTTACAACAAAGTTTAAATTTGGTTATATTATTGTAATTAATCGTTTTTGTAAATAGATGAAGTTAAAAATTAAATATAATATAAAATGAATAAATAAAAATAACAAAAATAATATAAAAAATATATTTTTATAATAAAATATTAAATCTAAAATGTATAAATAAAAATAGAAATAAAGTAAAAATTCAAAAATGTATATAAATATGATAAAAAGAGTATAAAAAAAGTAAAAAAATACAATAAAACGAGAACAAAAATAACATGTCCTTGAAAGTCGCCAACTAGGATGCTATATATATATATATATATATATATATATATATATATATATATATATATATATATATATATATATATATATATATATATATATATATATATATATATATATATATATATATATATATATATACATATATATATATATATATATATATATATATATATATATATATATATATATATATATATATATATATTATAACAAGAGTAAAAAATCATGCTTGTTTAAGAGTTTGTGAGGGAGAATTTGTTGATAAATCAGTTTTTTGTAAAATATTTTTGATAATGGTTTTTAGTTTAAGGTTAAAATTTTACTGTTAAATTAGTTTTTAAAATTAATTTAACAGTAAAGTTCTGCTTTCCTTCAATTACCAAACCACTTATATAAAATATTAGCTTAACGTCACTTATTTTATGGTAGAAAGAGAATTATGGTAGAAAAATTTTTCTGCTTTGCACCAACATAATGAATAAACAGTTTAAAGTCGTTACAGTTTATTTCTAGAATGGAATGTTAGCTATTTTAACCTATTGTACATGGAAACGCATTTTGAATAGAAGTATGCACAAATAAAATGCAAAATTTATTTTATGGATCCTTTTCTTTACAATACTTTATTGTAGTTTGTAACATGCATTGACAATTAGATCCCAAACCCAATTTTTGTTATTTGTGTGCTTATTTATTTCTGCATTATTTCCCCTGCTTCATACATAACGATTCCTCAAAGCTCAAGACATATTAAGTTATTTTTTATAATAACGCCAAGTTCTACCATAAAATGGACATACCCTCAAAAAGTACTGCTGTAAGCTGTGCGTTACATGATCTTATTATCATTAACACTCCTAATTGTTTCTCAGATATAACTTGTAAGCTGTGCGTTACTTATTATATTGTTACTTTCTATATCTGAGAAACAATCCGAGTTCGATCCCCACCACGTCCCTAGTAGTACCGCGCTCAACTCGTTTCTCCGCGCAGCGGCCTTGCTCAAGGTTCGTGTTTTGGAGTTATAGAGTTGTGAGAGGGTTATAACCACAAATAAGTAGCCTCCTCGTCTGTAGTGGCCTTCTCGGCCTTGAGGAGGTGAATTAAAATAAAAAAAAAAAAAAAAAAAAAAAAAAAATTAGGAGTGTTAATGATAATAAGATCTAGAGTGTTAATCTTTTATTCTCAATTGTGTTGGTGCATAGGAAAAGTCACAGGCTGGGTAAAATGATTCTCTTAATGAGTAATTTTGCTGGTCTCTTGTCTCCTTCAACATTTTCATTAATGCGCCTAAAAGTTGCATTTTTGCCTCCTGCATTATAATATTCATATCAAATATGGTAGTTAAAATTACCATTGAGTACCATGCTTGAGCATTCTAACTTGACAAGAGAGTTATTTGCTAGAGTTATTAATTTGTTTTATAACCTGTTTGTCTCAAATGTACTAGATGAAGGCCAATAAATACATCCCACAAGAAATGCATCCTTATTTGTATAGATAATACACCAGATTTGTTCAATATTTTGTAAATTTAGCTAAAAAATGTTGACATATATATGCATTTCCTTCATAACAAACTTTGACATTGTTGCATTTTCTTGGTATATCTTTTTTTTGAATTCTTTTTATTTAGATTTAGTTTATTTGTTTATTTAGGTACAAACAAATAAGAAACCTGTAAATGTTACAGACTTGATTACTGGAATTGATTTAAACGACACACAAAGTCTCGCAAATCTTGTTCAAGCAGTTAGTTCAACTACAAATAAAATTTCAGCTAATTATTCTAATAGCACTCTACCAACTGCAGATAACATTACTGGTTTTATTGATAATGGTGCATTAAATCAAGAAAAACAGCGGCAATTGACTCTTTTGCAAGATGTAAGTTATCTATAAGTATTAGTGATGTATTCAAATAAGTTCGTGATTACCCTGCTACTGGTAACATGTAACCTAGTGCAACCTGTTCCATGTTGTGGGATTCACTTACTAGGCTGGAAGAGTTTGCTTTCTCTGATCAGTACTATTTAATATTGGTTATGTAATAATAAATATATATACATTTTTTTTTTTTTTTTTCTGTGTCTTTTATATAGTATTTGTTATATGTAATTTTTTGTCTAATGCATTTCCAAAATATCATGCCTTGCTTTTACTCAACCACAAGCTCATGCCTCCGGGCTTTATATGATGTCTCGATAAAAATACTTTAGTTGATGTCTCAATAAAAATACTCGTCTTAGACAGATGTTAACTGCATCCAGTTAAAATTCCACTGCCTTGAGGCTCTTGTAAGTAAAGACTAGAGATAGTGTCTTTATAAAAATACTCATCTTCTGTAGATGTTTACTGCATCAAGCTACTGTCTTGTAAAAGGATTCCTAGGCAAAGACTTTAGGGATAAGTAAAATAATTTTTGCTAACTAGCCTCAAACCCCTTCTTTGTCTATTAGGCTAGTGTAGATGCAAACCTGTGTTACCTTGTTTCCTGTCTTGGGCAATGAATACTGAATCTTCTTGACTCATAGGTCTTTGTTTGTGCCTACTTGATAGTGGCTATGCAAATCTTTCTGTTATCTCCTAATGAGGTTATTGCTCTAAAATCAGTTTAATTGTTCTGAGGATGGCTTGTAGTGAGGTTTCCTGTACTCAGTCGTAGCTCTCAAATAGGCTGATTCCATCAACAGCTGCAAAATATCAGAGTATTAAAAGTACCATGTAGCATTAATGGTTTTCCTATTAATACTTTTGGTGTGCATTGTCCTAGCCACATAAGGAGACCTATGTTATGACTTAGGGTTCATAACCAGGGCTGAGACAAACGCATAGCTCATTGCTTAGGAGGCTATGCTTTATATACATGCTTTATATAAAAAATAAGTTGAATGATTTTTTTTTTTTTTTTTGCACATGATCTGAAAAAATTGCAAAAAAATGTTGATTGATGTGGTAAAATTTTAGATCATTGTACACTTGACTTACAATATTAAAAAATTAGCTTGGATAAAAGTTTTATAAGTTGAACAAAAAGTTGTATAGGTTGAAAAATGAAAAACAAAAAAATGTTTGACAATTTTAACTCAGTTTTTTAAACCATATTCTTATACATATTGCTTCTCTTTTAATTAAAATATTCAATATAAATAAATAGTACTTACCATCACTGTAATAAAATGGTTCTTTTTTAAAAAATAAAAAATTTAAATGGTATAAATGCTGTAAATTTGTAGTTCAATTTATTTCAATAAAATTAATATCTAACAGCTTTTTTAAAATTGTTCATTAATAGTTGCTCTGGAATGTTTTTTTATAATTAACACTGCAAGTTATTACCAATAATAATAAAAATATTATCAATTAGTCTATTTCTTGAACTGACTTTTGTTCACTTAGCTTTTAAAAAGCACAGCACTGTGGGTCACCCTGCTACTTTTTATGCTATGGTACCATCAAAATAAAAATAACTTCATATATTGACAAAAACTGGTTAACACCTTGATTATGGCATTCAACCATAAAAAATTGCTTCTTAATTGAAAAATTTTTGTTCTGGAGAAGCTTTAACAAAAGTAAAAAGACCCATATAAATTTATGTAGTGGTAAGTCATTATAAGGACAACCTCTTCAAGCAAACTTAAAATTCTTCAGGAATATTGCACAGCGTTTAAAAGAGCATTTGGTAAGCACAAATTCAAAGAAAATTGCACTACTATTCTGGTCAAAATAGTTGAAAAACTGCAAGAAAAAAGTCCTTTGAAAAACATAGTTTTTAATAATGCATATCTTTTCTTAAATAATATGGCTAACATAAAAGTATTTAGATTTGCTAATTTGGGTTAGCTGGTTGATAAGATGTATAGATTCAAGTTGATATCTGCCCAAACAGGTGATTCTGTCAAAGATCAATTTGAAGCCTTTACAATATTTGTTGTAACAGTAAATGAAAAAGAGTTCAGCTAATTCCATTGCTTTTAAATGCGTCTTGACAAATTTTTAATGCCTTATTTGAACATTAACAAACCTTTTGAATTATTAAAGATAGTCTGCATCCTAATTTTCACTTTATCTTACTTCACTGTTGAGCAAGTTTGTAGTATTAACAAAGAGTATTCAAGAAACCTTTTAATTAGAAAGTGTACTGTTTATAGCTATATACAAATTTTATGCATTTGGAAATGAAACTATTGACATACTGGAAATGAAAATATTGACACCACATTGTATTTTGAATAGTTTGAATAACAACCAAAAATACAACATTTGTTAACCTTTTTATGTCTAATACAATCTTTTTGTATTCTTTTTTTTTAACTTTTAACTCATATATATTGTTACACTTTTATTTAAAACCACATACTGAACTGGCCCTCTATTTTTCTGCAAAATGCAGAATATTATTTATTAATTATTTTTAGGTTCTTTTCTTCTGTCCTCTTTATAGTTGCTAAAGTTTTTCTTTGTAGTGGCTGATTCTGCATGCATTAATTTAAAAACTTCTTTTTGAGGAATATAAGTGTCTGTGTTTTAACTTCTAAAGTTAAAATTTAAAAACAATTAGTCATCATTAATTACCGATGGTATTAAAAATAATTTTTTTTAACATGTTTTTTTTTTTTATAGACTCGCACACACATGATTGGTTTACTTGGTAATGCCACCATCAATGATTTAAATTCCTTTAAAATTATTGGTGATGCTTTAGCTTTAACTTCACAAAATCCAATCGAGTTAGTTCCTCAATCTCAGGTATATTTCAATTAGAAGAAGCTAATGATTAATTTATTGTTTTTTTAATTAAATTTAAAACATTCTGCAGAATAAACTGTAAATTTATGAAAAATCTACCATGTTTACAACTTATTTTTTCTGTTAGTTTTATCTATGCTATTATTTTGTTCTATTTGAAAAAAGTTTCACTAACAATTTTATCTGTATTTCATAGAACAAAATTGGATGGGGGAGGGGGAAGGGCTGGCTAGATAAGTAAAGTTGTTGAATTAGGTGGAGGTCACTTGTGTTCTCAGCTTATTGTATCAAAATTAGAGAAATATTATACTCAATTAATAATTTTTTAAAATTCATTTGTTGTAAAATTTCATATATATTATAATTTGCTGCTTTATTTGTTATAAAAATAGAATCTTTTTGTGTTTTTTAATTTATAAATCTTTTAAATAAACAACTATTTGTTCAATTATCTTATATATATATCTTCATATAGTATATTGAAATATCTTTTATATCTTATCTTTATATATTATCAAAGAACCTTTTTCTCAAATATTTTTTAAATATCTTTTAATAATATCAAATTATCTTTTACTCAAAAAGCTTTTATATATTTTTATATATTATAAAGATATCTTTTATTCAAATATCTTTTATATATTTTTCTATACTATAGAAATATCTTTTACTCAAATATCTTTTATATATTTTAATATATTGTAGAAATATCTTTTATTCAAACGAGCTATTTGTTCTTTTTTTTAGAAACAAGCATCAAATATTGTTGCTAAAATGTCTGAACTTCTTACCGCCCAAAATCTTAAAAGTATTGGAGCAGACAATTTCGATACCATGACTCAACCATTTTTAAAGTCAATATCTAACTTGTTCCAAACTAGTTTAAATAATAATGAATCAGGTATACTTTATCTAAAAGCAGTAGCAATATTAAACTTTGTTGAATAAGAAAACTTTTAAGTTTTAATAGTTCCTTGAAACAGTTTTTACAATATCTATTTTTTTGATTAATTTAGATTCAGTTTTACCTACCCTTCAAACAACAACTTCATCAACAACTTCATCGCTAAATTTAAAAGTAAATAATTTTTTTAATAGAAATTATGTGACTTATATATAAAATATAATAATAAACAATAAATTATTAAATTAAAATGCATAAGCCAAGACTTTTTAGCTAGTATGTATTCTTTTATATATTGTTTAATAAAATATATAGAATGTTATATACATCATTCATAACAAATGATAAAATACTAAATGTAATATTAAATTTTAAATGTCAATTGAGTTGTTTTGTAATCTTTTTTTTTATGATTAAAAGACTTTTATGAACAGAAATTATGATGAAAATATTGATATGTTTTAGTTTTATTTCATTTTTTTATTTATCATAAAAAATCATAATAATAATAGAAGTTGTAAATATTTGTAAAATAATATTTGATTAATACACCAGATTTAGTAGTTATAGCAACAGTAAAAAAATTATAATAATTGTTAGAATAGTAATACTGATATTAGCTGCCAGAACCCATAAAATACAGGTAAGTGTGTTCCACACCAACCATTTCATGTTCCATACCGACCTCTTCTATACTTATTCTTTATATGGTCACTTTACTTCAATGTTTTTTAATAAACAGTAGAAAAACTATTCTTTTAAAAATCTATATTCTAGGTTTGCAACTAAAGTTTGTTTTTAAATTTTTTTAAAAGTAATTTTAAAAATCTTATAGCCTGACTTGCAACAGAGTGCTGCTACATTGTTTATCTTATAGCCTGAATTGCAAAGGAGTGCTATATTGACTGATGGTTTGGTTAGGGCAGGCAGTCTATCATTAAATAAGCAAAAACAAAATATCGTTTTTTTTAGGAAAAAGGAACAAAATATAACTTTTCAACAAAGTTTATTTACAAACAAAACAGTACAAGTTATTAATTATAAAAAAAGAACATAAAATATTTTTTTAAATAAAACAATTAACAAAACATTCTACTATTACTATGTATATACAAAATAACAAAACATAATAAAATGAAATGTATTTACAAAAAACATTTAACTACATCTACAATTAGTAGATTGACAAACTACAAAAATACTAATAATATAGATTTAGTGTAATGTTTTCCTTTCTAATTCGTTAAGGTTTGCTTTCTAAGAGGGTAACTCTATTGAAAAATTATGTATAATGTTTTTCTACCACCCCCTCCTCTCATATTTCACTTTCTAAAAGGATCACTCTCATTGTAAAAGTGCAGGGGAGGGGGGATTTTACCACAAAATTAGCGTTCTATGTGCTTATCGGATGCAGTTAATTGCTATGCATTGTTTTTTTTTTATTCCAATTTACTCACATTATTAAGTTAGAAGTTACTAGAAAAAAAAAGAATTAAAATAAAGAACAAGGAAGCTGTTGGTTGTATGAGTCAGGAAAACATGAAGATAAGAAAGAGTTCCATAGTGTTGACTTGCAGGGGAAAAAACTAGAAAAATAAAAAATTTCAGAGCATGTAGAGGCGGATACAGTAAAAGAATGAGAATTTCCTAAAGGACAAGCCTAGAAAAATGAGTTTTGGTTTATGGAACTGGAGGTGATAGCCTTTGAGCAGTAATATGATAATATTTGTAGAAAAGTGAAAGAGATGCAACTTTACAATGATGAGAGAGAGGCTCAAGCTTGACAAATAGAGCAGGTCCAACTACACTTGAGATAGGGTCCAACTATACAACTACACTTACAATGCATTTTTAGACTTTTTCTAGAAGAGAAAAAGTATCATTAGAAGAACCAGTTCAAAAATGACAACAGCATTCCGTACAGGGACAAATAAGAAATTTGTAGAGGTAGAAAATATAATCTAGAGTAAGAAAATATATAAAGAGCAACAACCATACCAGGTTCTAGCATAACAATTGTTTAAAAGTATGGTTTTCATGAGAGGTCAGTTGTGATTAATAATCCAAGAAGACAAAAAGAAGAGGACTGAGTAAGAGGGTTGCCATTGCACAATATAGGTATGTTGATAGTATTACAATAGTTGTTTGCAGTAAATAACTGAGTTTTTGAATTAAAATTCACTCGCCATAAAAATTGTTAAAATTTGCTTGCCATAAAAATTCACATAAAGTTAAAGTTTATTGCCATAAAAATTTTCAGTTGCCTTTAAAATTTCTGAATTTTTAAAATTAAATTTTAAAAATTAAGTTGCCTTTAAAATAAACTTCACTTGCCAATAAAATTGTCACTGTAAGCCCTAATCTTTTACAGAAAGGAGATCAGGTTCAAGATCGGCTGTCTGTTCTAAGCAATCAAAAAGAGGAGACTTTTTGTCAAGATAGTAGGAAAAAGTTGAGTGATCGGCAAACAGAGCCACCATTGGTCTTTGAGGATTACTTAAATAAAGCAGTTAGATAGAAAGGATTTGATAATCTTAAAAACTTTCACAGACCAAATGAAGCAAGCTTATGGAGAATACTAGCATGCCAAACTTTATTGGAAGCTTTAGATATGTCAAGAGCAATAGACCTTGCCTCTCTGCCTTCATTTAATGCACAATATAGTCAAAGTCAACAACAGTTAACTAGTCAGCTAAAGAATGAGAAGATTGAAAACTGTATTTATTGTCTGACAGTAAGTTATTTGACTCAAGGTGGGATGTTAGAAGTTTGTAAATCAAAGACTCAAAAACCTTGAAAAATGTTGTTGAAAATTTTTCAACAATCTTAAGTGCCTAATTACTGAGATAAGATATGAGATTTAGTGAACTGGGAGTAATGGAGCTTAGTATAAGACTTCACCTTTTTACATTGATTTCTTGAAATAATAAATAGGTGTTGGTATTCAAAAGAATTGTTCATTTGAAAAAGATGAAAAAAATAATTATGATTAGATCTAGCAGCTCCATAAGAAGGTAAAAACTATGGAGTAAAATGAGGTTTGACTTGAAGCAACAAGAAGGAATAAAAGCTTTCATTCCTGCCTGGATCCAGAAGTTTGCATCAGAGTATTGATCAGTGAAGAGAGTAAATACATTAGCTCGAGAATCATCACAAAGAAAATCACGAAAAGAATCCCAGTCAGCTTTAGGGTAGTAGTAAGTAGTGCGATTATAGGGTGAGTCTAAAGAAGAAGTACCAGGTGAAAGATTCATAGAGTTCATTGAATAGTCAGAACTACGTAAGGAAGAAAATGGAGAAACTCGACACAAGCTAGAGTCAGAGACACAAATCAAGGAGGAAACTAGAAAACAAGTTACAAAGTTAACAAACGAGTTAACAAACAAGTTACAAAGTTAACAAAGAAAACAAGTTACAAAGTTAACTATCTGAGCAAGAGATTGAGAAGTTAAAAAGCTATAGGTTTTAGTGCCAACCTGGTCCATGGTGGTAGAGCCAAGTCATTCAGTTTGATAAGCATTAAACTCACCAATAATAACAATGTAGTTTTCAATAAAAAATCAAATCTATAAATTTGTTGTATTATTTATAAATCTATAAATGTTATCCATAGTTTTATGAACTTTATATTATTCTCTATAAACTAAAAAGTTTCAATAATAAACCAATTAAACTAAGTTAGTTATTATTTATAGACTTTTTTTTTCTACTGTATCAACCTCCAAATGGCCAATGTTTATTTATTTATTTTTTTTTTTGACAGCCTAAAAACATTTTGAATAAAAAAACATGTTTTGTTTCTTTTGAATAAAAAAAACATGTTTTGTTTACTTTGAATAAAAAAACATGTTTTGTTTCTTTTGTATAAAAAAAACATGTTTTGTTTCTTTTGAATAAAAAAGCATGTTTTGTTTCTTTTTCATTTGTTTCTTTTGGCTGTTCAACATATTTAGAGAGACCTTTAGAAACCCCTTGTTTCTAACAAAACCTACTTTAATTATTTGATTTTATCATGGAAGGTCACATTAGTCAACAATATGTTCATTCCAACAATTTTATTACAAAAAAGTATACTAAGCACTAAATTTTATATTGGCTGCCAATAACACTGACTTACATTTTACTTAGAAACGTTTTACTTGGAAACGTTTTACTTGGAAACGTTTTACTTGGAAACGTTTTACTTGGAAACGTTTTACTTGGAAACGTTTTACTTGGAAAAACTTAACAATAGTCAAATAATTAAAAAATCAAAAATAAACAAACAAAAAATTAACAGTATGTGCACAATAAAAATCTATTAAGTTTTTTCCTGCATTTCACAAATCTATACAAAGTAAAAAGTTGACCTTAGTTTAATCTTTTCATAAACATTAACAAAATGACTAAAATAATCAATTTTTTTTTTTTTTTTGTTAAGTTATAAATTTATTATTATTTAAATTATTTAGAGCAATAGTAATCCAGTGTTGCAATTGTTCAAATCTATGGATAGTCATTTTCTTGCAGCACAAACTTACAAAGTACCTGGTGAAAACGCAACTGTTGGTGAAACCAATCAATTTACTTTTGTATTAAAAAAAGATTTCTCAAGTAGTTTGAGCAACAAATCAATTGGTTCATCTGATGGTGAATATGGTTTTACTCTTCCTGATTCTAAGGATTTATTTAATGATTCTGTGCAAAACTCACAAATCTCAGTCAATGTAAGTATTATTTTTGTAAAATGTTGAATTTTTACTTTTTTTTTGTTTTGCGTTTTATTTTGCTTTTTTTTTTCTAGAATTTAAGAATGAAAGATAATGTTTACACATGGGACACAAATCGATCACAAAACATTCTCTCAGAATCTCAAAGTCTTTCTTTTTCAGATGCTAACGGTCATCCAATTAAAGTAAGCAACAGTTCACAACCAATTAAAATTGCCATAAAAAATATTCCAGAAAAAATGACTGGCAAAAATGTATCTTTATCAATGCCTAATGATGTAAATTTAATTAGTCTACCGTTGACATCAGGTTGTAACATGCTCTTAAAGTTCTTGTTTTTAAATGATGAAAATAATTTAACAAATCTTTTTGTTTACATTCAATATGGAAAAATTGCAACTAAACTTGATTATGATATAATGCTGAATATTTCTGCTAAACATGGTGTAACTATGACAAAAAATAACAATATAACTACAGGCAACATCACATTTGATAACAATATAAATGATGTAAGTAATTATTCTGGATTTGTGCAAAGAAATCAAGATGCTCTTCTTTTTGATGATGGCACCCTAATTTTATGGAATTTTTTAAACTCTACATATGGTTTTTATAAAAAAAGTATATTGCATTTGCTCTTCTCCTATTCTGGCCCAATGCCTTCTAAAAAGCTAGATTTGAATCCATACACTTTTGATGAAGCAGAGTCTGTTGGGACATATGTCTATGAAATGAAGTCTTTTTGTGCAGAATGTAATTATTGGAATGAAGGGGAAAATAAATGGATGTCTGATGGATGTGAGGTAGGTCTATATATAAAATCATAATATAATATGTATATTTATATAGTGTATATGTATAATGAATAAACACTCATGTACACATATACACACATACCCACACACACACACTTGTTTTGCTAAATACCCAATATTTTTTGTTTAAATTTCCAGGTTTGGTTTTCAAACCATTTCTTTCATTCAAAAAATTTATTGAGAATTTAACCTTAAATTATATTTCAAAAATTTGCATAAAACATCTACTTTGCAAACTAGAACATCTACTTTGCAAGCTAAAACATCTACTTACAAACTTGTCAGCTGACATCATCAGCTATATTTAAGTTGAAAACTAAATAACATCAGTCACTGAACTAATTACCTTTAGTTAATTGGTTGGTTCACTAATTTAACTTCAATTTTTTTATAACATTGGCAACATTTTAAAACTTTTAGTTTTAAGTTCCTTAGGTAAATAATTATTTAAATAATAAATATTAATTATTTTCATATAAACTTTTTTTTTAATACTTACAGGTCTTGATAATAGTGCTGATACATCTTTTTTTTTTGTTTGTTTGTTTGTGTGCAAAATTCTAAAATTTCTTTTTGACAATGTTTTTTTATACTCTTTTTTAAAAACATAAAAATTAACTTGTTCTTCATATTTTTATTTACTTTAACGAAAATAATTGCTCAATGAGTTATTAGCTTTTTAGTATAACCAATTTTTTTTTGACAAAAATAAATAAATGCATAGATATTGTAATTCAAATAAACAAATGCATAACTAAACAAGTAAATGCATAAATATTATAAATCACCATAAACATATAATAGTTCATAATAGTTAAAAAATTTTTAGTTTATATAAAAATAAACAACTTTAAACTACTAAGGTACTCTAAAATGCCAATCAAAATGTAAATTTTATTTCACTTTTTCTTTTTTTTTTTTTTTTTTTTTATTTGCATTAACTCCCAACAAGGCTGCAAGCAACCACATTAAGTTGGGAGTTACTAAGAAAAAAAAGAACAGAGTATTAGAGCAAGGAAATGGTTGTATGAGTCAGGTTGTATGAAAAGTTGAAGGTTGTATGAGTCAGGAAAACATGAAGATGGGAGAGAGTTCCAAAGGATTGAAGTGTGGGGAAAAAAACTAGATAAATAAAAGTTTTTAGAGCATGCAGGGACAGATACAGTAAACGAATGAGACTTAGCTGAATGATGAGTAAAACTAGAATGAATTTTAGTTGATGGAACTAGAGATGATAACTCCTTTGAGCAGTGATCATGATAGTATTTGTAGAAAAGAGAAAGAGATGCAACTTTACGACAATGGGAAAGAGGTTCAAGCTTAGCAGATAGTCTAGGTCCAACAACATTTACAATGCGTTTTTGGACCTTGTCAAGAAGAGAAAGTGAATCATTCGAAGAACCAGCCCAAATATGACAACAGTATTCCATACAGGGACAAATAAGAGATTTGTAGAGGTAGAGAATGGAATCAGAAGTAAGAAAATGGCGAGCACGATAAAGAGAAGCAACCTTAGCAGAAGCTAATTTAGCAATCGATTGTATATATGGTTTCCATGAAAGGTCAGTAGTAAGCGATAATCCAAGAAGACGTAAAGAGGACAACTCAGTAAGAGGATTGCCATTCATTAATATAGGAATGTTGACCATATTACGGTAGTTGTTTGCAGTAAGCAACTGGGTTTTTTTGGGTTGAAATTCACAAGCCACTGTGAATCCCAATCTGTTACTGAAGTGAGATCGGATTCAAGATCAGCTGCTTGTTCTAGGCGATTGAAAAGAGAAGACTTATATAAAGTTGAGTCATCAGCAAAAAGAGCTACTTTAGATGAAAGGTTGTCAGGAAGATCGTTTATGTAGATAAGAAACAAAACAGGGCCCAGGATGGAACCTTGGGGAACCCCAGAAGTTACTGGTAATAAAGAAGAGTGTTGGCCTTCAAGGATGACTTTGATCAACCGGTTAGAAAGAAATGATTTGATAATCTCAAAAACTTTCCCAGAAACACCATATGAAGCAAGCTTATGGAGAAGACCAGCATGCCAAACTTTGTCGAAAGCTTTAGATATGCCGAGAGCAATAGCCCTAGCCTCACCGCCTCCATCTAATGCACAATAAAATCTTTCAGTTACAGCAGTTAGCAAGTCGGGCGTAGAGCGAGAGGATCGAAAACCTTATTGATTTTCTGACAGTAGTTTATTTGACTCAAGATGAGATGTGAGAAATTTGTTGATCAAAGACTCAAAGACCTTGCTAATAACAGAAAGAAGACTGATCGGATGATAATTGGAGGGGTCAGAATTTTCTCCAGAGTTTTTGAATATTGGAACCACAGATGCCGTTTTCCAATAAGCAGGAAAACAAGACTCAGTCAAACACTTTCTTCAATTCTCTCTAAACTAAATAGTTTAGAGAGAATTGAAGAAAGTTCTGGAGAACAATTCTTCAAGACTGTGACAGGAATGTTGTCTGGATCACAAGCTGTAGACGAGTTTAATTGAGATATGACTTTAGCAACAGAAGCCGGAGTGATTTGAATGTCTAACAATGGGTCAACCTGTTTGACTGGAATGGAAGGAAGAGAATGTCCATAAGATTCAATAGTGGAATTAGAAGAAAAGTTCTATGCAAATTGTTCTGCCTTATCCTTGAGAGAGGTAGGAAGATCAGTCCCATGAATGAGAGATGGAATGTTAGATCTACCCTTGGTAATAATGCTGTTGCAGATTTTCCAAAAGTCTTTAGAGCCTAACTTCTGTGATAAGATGCGAGATTTAGTGAACTAAGAATAATGGAGTTTAGCATCAGAAAGCACCTTTTTATATTGATTTCTTGCAATAATAAATAGCCGTTTGTTCTCAAGAGAGTTGTTCTTTTGAAAAAGATGAAAAAAATGATTACGATTGGATATAGCAGCCACACAAGAAGGAGAAAACCATGAAGTAGAATGAGGCTTGACTTAAATCCGACTAGAAGGAATAAAAGCTTCCATTCCAGCCTGAATCCAGGAGGTTATGTAGGAGGCGCATTTTTCAGCTGAGAGAGAAAAAACATCAGCCCAAGGACCATCACGAAGAAAATCACGAAAAGAATCCCAGTCAGCTTTAGAGTAGTAGTAGGTGGTGCGATAATAAGGTGAGCCCAAAAAAGAAGTACGAGAAGAAAGATTTATAGAGATCATTGCATGATCAGAACCACCTAAGGGAGAAAAGGGAGAAACTGAACATAAGCTAGGGTCAGAGACAAGACATAAGTAAAGGAGTGAAGGTAAATGATTAGGGTTGTCAGGAAAATGAGTCACAAAGTTAACTATCTGAGTAAGACATTGAGAAACTCAGAAGTTAAAGGCTTTAGTGCCAGCAGGGTCAGCGGTGTTAGAGCCAAGCCATTCAGTGTGATGGGCATTAAAATCACCAACAACATCAATATTGGCAGAGGGCTAAAGAGAGAGGACATGGTCAATTTGATCAGAGATAACATCTAAAAGAATGCAATCATGGGAAGAAATAGAACGACAAAGAACAAAGAGAAAGGTGATAAAGTGAAGAGGTGCTAGGCGAAAGCACATAAAAGAATGGTCAAAGGATTCGAACCTAATTTCACGACAAATAGGGGAATTAATGCGTATGTATACCCTTAAACCTAGCATGTGACTATTGGAATCTTTACGAATCAAAGGATAGTACCCATCAACACTGACATCTGAAGAAGGAATTGCAGAATTTAAATTTGTTTCACTGAGTGCAAGCAAGTCTGGTGAATTTTGCAGGAGGTAAGAATCAACTGACCGAAAGTTGCTTTGCAGACCGCAAATATTTGTAAAAGATATATTAAAACATTTAGGTAGTGGGGTTGGTTTTTTAGGTTTAAAATATTTGGTTACTTTGGTCATGATTTGGGTTTAATGAGAACTTGACTCATTCATAGATAGAGCACAGTCTCCTAATCAATGAGCTATGCAGTTGTCTCAGTCCAGTTAATTAACCCTAAGCCATAACATAGGGCTCTTTATGTGGCCTTGACAATGCACACCAAAAGCATTAACAGGGACACCGTCCATGCACAACATGGCACTGTTAATACTCTGATATTTTGCAGCTGTTGATAGAATCAGCCTCTTTGAGAGCTACCACAAGGTTTGGAAAACCTTACTATTAGCCGGCCTCAGAACCATTAAACAGAGTTTTAGAGCTGTACCCTCATATGGAGATAATAGGAAGAGTTGCATAGCCATTATCAAGGAGACAAAGCAAAATTTCTCTGAGTAGAGTCAAGGAGATCCAGCATTCATCATCCTAGGCAGGAAACAATGTAACACAGGTTACATCTACGCCAGCCTAATAGATGAAGAAGGGGTTCAAGGCTGGTTAGCAGAATATTTCTGCTTACCCCTCTTTTTAGAAGAATGTTATCAGTTATAATGATTTAATATATAAAATCAGCATAAAACATTGTTTATTGTCATACAATAAACTCATACAATAGTTCACAAAATAACTTGAATCAACAGTTAAAATTTCTGATGAATCATTAGATACGGTCTCAAATGTATAAAATTGCGTTCCAATGTTTGTTGTGTTACACACTTATTTAAAAAAATAAATTTTTATTCATTTTATTTTTAACTCTGGATTATTAAGTAATCACACAAATGAAGAGTTTAGTTTTACTATAACATAATATTAATAAAGTATATAATATTATAACATTATATTACTAGTATATACTATTAAGATATACAAAAAATTAACCTTTTAAATATAATTTTTTTTTAGCTAGATATTAATGGCACAAGTTTTTTAGTTACAAAATGTAAATGCACTCATTTGACTTCTTTTGGCGGATTTTTTGTTGCTCCAAATCCTATACGAAAACCAACTTTATCTATGCTTAAAAATGGATATGTCCTTACTGTAGTAGTTGCAATAGCTCTTTTTATTTGGATAGTTGGTTTGATATTTTGTAGAAGAATGGACAAAAAAGATGTTTCAAAGGTTGTTTTTTTTTTTTTAATTTTTATTTTAGTCGATATATAATATAAGTTGGTTAACAACTGAAAAATTAAATAATAATATTTTTTAACAACATTTTTTATTTAATTTTACTATTTTGTATAGCTCATTGCTTGGGATGGTGTGCTCTATCTATGAATGAATTAATTTCTCTTTAAACTATGACCAAAGTAACTAAAGATATTAAGCATAAAAATCCAGCCCCACCACCTAATTGTTTTGATATATCTTTCACAAGCATTTGTACTCTTGGTAGTAACTTTTTATCAGTTGAACCTTACCTCTTATAAAATTCACCAGGCTTGCTGGCTCTTTGTGAGACTAATTTAAATTGGCTTTGTGAGACTAATTTAAATTGGTTTTGTGAGACTAATTTTAATTCTTTTATTTGTGTTTTGTCTCTGACTATAGCTTGTGTTCAGTTTCTCCTTGCTCCTCTTTTGGTAGTCCAAACCATGCAATGATCTCTTCAATTTTTTTTTAACTTATACTTTTTCTAACTCAATCTATCATGACAATACTAAATACTACCTTAAATCAGACTGAGATTAATTTGGTGATTTCCTTTGTAATAATCATTGGGCTGATATCTTTTCTCTTACCACTGATAAATGAGCCTCCTGCATAACCTCCTGTATTCAGGCAGGTATGAAGCTTTTATTCCTTCTCATTAATTCCAAGTCAAGCTTCATATACTCCATGGATTTTAGCTTTTTGTATAGCTGTTATATCTAATCATAATCATTTTTTCCATCTTTTTCAAATCTTAACTCAACTCTTAAGATTAAATGTCAACAAATTGTTGCAAGAAATCAATGTAAAAAGGTGCTCACTCATGCTAATCTCCATTGTTCCCAGTTTAATAAATCTCATATTTTATCATGTTTTATAAGTTTTAAGTTAGTTAAGGAAATCTTCAACAGTGACTTTAAGAAAACTAAGTCTAACATTCTCAAATTTATGGTCATATTATTGATCTTATTTGCCAATGCAAGCCTTAGGCTGATACAGAAGAAAGATCAGATTAAAAACCGGCACTTGTTCTAAGCAATCAAAAAGTAAATGTTTTTTGTCAAGACAAGAGTATAAAGTTGAGTCCTTAGCTAATAGAGGTACTTTAGATGTAAAACTTTCATGAAGATTGTTATTGCAGATAAGAAACATTACAGGAGCAAAGATAGAGCTTTGTGGTATCCTTAAAGTTACTTAAAATAAAGTAGAGTGTAGACCTTCAAGGCCTTTAATTCTGCAGTTAAAAAAAAATAATTTATTGATCTCAAAAACATTATATAAAGAAACTAATAACAGAGTGAAGATTAATCGTAGGATGATAGAAGAGGTCAAAGTGTTTTTCTAGAGTTTTAAAAAATTGGAACCACATATTTAACACTTTTTAAAAGTTTAGCAAAAATTGAAGAGAGTTCTGGAGAACACTTTTTTAAGACTATGATAAAAATCTATTCTGGAACACAAACTGTATTAGTGTTTAATTGAGAACTAATTTTAGCGTTGAAAGCCAGTGTGATTTTGATTTTTAACAATGGGTTAATCTGTTTAACTGTCAGGAAGAGCATGGTCATTTTCAAGAGTCAAATTAGAGTAAGAATTCTTTGCAAATAATTCTGCTTTATTATGGAGAGAAATAAAAAGTCAGACCCAGGAACTTACTTTAGTTAATGACATTGTTGAAGACTCATCAAAAGTCTCTAGACCCTAACATCTGAGATAAGATACAAGATTTAGTAAACTTAGAATAACATAATAGCTTAACATCAGACAAGATTTTTTTACATTGGCATCTTGTAATATTAAAAGGACATTTGCTTATAAAAGAGATGCTCTAGTAAAAAATATGAAAAAATTGATTACTGTTTAATAAAGCAACTGCTCAAAATGGTAAAAAATGTGGAGTAGAATGAGCCTTGACTTAATATTGAAAATATTAAGTCAAGGAATAGAAGCTTCCAAGCTTTTATTCCAGAAGAAATAAAAGCTTCTGAGATGCGCTTTATGCAAACATAGTATGGATATAAACATATTTTTATATTTGCCATAATAGAAGATGATCAGATGAATGTGTGTTGTGAATCTAACACGACAAAAAAAGGAGACATATTAGAAAAAGCATCTTATCAAACAACATTTGTTAGAGAAGATTAAAGTGATTAAAATGTATTTGCATATAGAGAGGTAGAAGCTTCAGGAGAAAATGGTAGTGGTAGAAGTAAGAAAACTTGAAGAGAGATATTGTATGAATGAGATTTAGTTAAAGAATAAAAATGCTCTAAATTGTTTATATTAGAGAAACAACATAAAAGAGGAAAGCTTGATGATGATGATTATCATGATGATCATGATGATGATCATGGTGAACATAATGATGTTTATATACGCATATATATGCAAAATACAACATGAATTTTGAACTAAAAAAATTGATTTTAGGATGTATAATTGTTTATGCAGCCCAGGTCACATACCCAGCCCTGACTATATTTTATCAAACCTAGCCCTGACCCTGGTCAAATATCAATCCCGGTTGTTTATTACAGGTTAATCAGTTTGTTAGACATTCAATCACTCTAGCTTCCAGTGCTTAATTTAATCTTAAATGCTTTCTCAAATTTAATTTCAAATGAACTTTTCTATGACTTCCAGACAACACTCCTGTCATAGTTTTACATAAGTGTTTTTTAGAACACTTATGTAACAACTATGACAGGAGTGTTTTGTATCAACTATTTTCAACTGTTTCTAAAATATTTAATAAATGCTTGACTAATTTTTGTTTTGTTTGGCATCTATGGTTCTAATTTTTAAAACTCTGGAGAACATTGTGACTCCTCTAACTACTGTTCAATCAGTCTTCTCTCTATTATTATCAAGGTCTGTGAGTCTTTGGTTTACAAATTTTTAACAACCTTGAGCCAAATAACTTACTATCAGACAGCTAATACGGTTTTCGATCTTCTTGTACTTTAGCTGACTTGTTAACTGTTGTGACTGACAGACTTTGTCATGCATTAGACAGAGGCGGCAAGACGGTGGCAATCTTAATGTTTCATGAAAGTTTTGAATGCTAATCTTCTCCATGAGCTTCATTTGGTCTAGAAAGATTTTTGAGATTATTATCTAGAAAAGTTGATATTCATTTGATAGAAAAGTTTGAGATTATCAAATCTTTATTTTTTAACCGCTTTATTAAAGTCATTCTAAAGAGCTAACACTTTTTTTTATAGCCAGTAACTTCTGAGTTATATAATATATATAATATAAATGTAAAACAGTTTTTAATTTTTGATAAATTTTATTAATTTATTTTTTTATTTAGGATAAATTTTTATTCGAAAATTTTTTTTGCTTTAAAGTCCTTTGAACCCCATAAGAAACTGAGTAAAATTTTTCTGTTGAAAGTATTCTTAAATTATTAGATATAGGTGACTTAAAACAAAAAAAGTTGTTTAAAAAAAAAAAAAAACAATATGCTTTTTAACATGGGACACTGGTGACCCTGTGGTCAGTTAGGGTTAACAAATTTAAAATTTTAACTTTTTTTTCTTTCAAAAAACCTACTATATAGTTAGTATATTACATTTATACATTTAATACTTTATTATTACTATGAATTAAATCCAACAATGTTTAAATTTCATCACTACTAATCAATGTATGTACATAAATAGACTACTATTGACTATATACATAGACTACTAGTCTATGTATATATATATATATATATATATATATATATATATATATATATATATATATATATATATATATATATATATATATATATATATATATATATATATATATATATATATATATATAAATGTAACACTTAACACACTTTTTAAATAATAAATATTACTTAACTGTTTAAAAGTTACAGATGTTTAATTAAAAATGGCCAAAGTAACCCCATATTACAGTATATATAAATATATATATATATATATATATATATATATATATATATATATATATATATATATATATATATATATATATATATATATATATATATATATATATATATATATATATATATATATATATATATCAGGCCTTGCAATGAATAAGAACTGCGCGACGCATAAGCACGACGTGATTTTTGACGTCATTAAATTCTTTTTATTTGCTTTTCATATTTATTGACATTAACTGCACCAATTTACTTAATTACCGCAAAACTACTTTAAATCATTAATGTAGAAATGTTATTATTTAAAAATGTTTTGGAATGATTCATTTTTTAAAATGTAAAAACATTTGTTAATTTTCTCGACGTTTGACACATTTTGTCTATACTAAAGGAATAAAAAACATAAGTTTTTCAAATAATTAATTTTTCTTTTTAAAAAGTCAGAGAGTAATAAATTTGAAATTTTTATAATGTTTAAAAACTGTGCAATAGCTAATATTTTTACTAGCGATTTTATATAATATTTTTTTATTTATTTATTTTTATTTATTTTCATAAAGCGGTTGATAAGTACAATCACTCGTATTATTAAAAAACTTTAACGAATGTTTTGAATAGATTTTTAATGTTTACAAGGAATTTTATTTTTGGTAAAATAAAATAAAATGTTAGAATAAAAATCTTTTAGGTATAAAAGAAATATTTCAGCAAAAAAATTATTCCTAAAAATTATTATTAAAAATTATTCGAAAAACTATTGATGTTCTATTTTTCAGCAGCTGTTCTTGAGCACGCTTCGTTGAGTTTCAATAACTTTTAACAAAAATGCGATTGTTATTATTTAAGTAATTTTTTTCGAGTTACTTTTTACAAAAATTTTAATAACTGTACTTTTTTATTGAATCAAGTAGAATACGTTTTAATATTAATCCTTTTTTTTTTTTTATTTGTGCTTACCAATTTTTAAAATGTTTCCTCGAAATTACTCTTAAATACTTTAAATTCATCTAACAGTTAATAAATATTTTTAAATCTATGGAATAATTTTAAAATC